TATATATATATATATATATATATATATATATATATATATATATATATAACTATATATATAGAAAGCATTATGTGCTATTGAATATCGCTGCTATATTGTTCTATTAATGATTTCGTTTACTAAGTTGCCATTATCATGAATTTTTTTCCAATTGTACGATAAAGGCAACTGTGCTCGCGAGAGGAATTCGGAGAGGATCACTCACTTCATTTATTAATAGGTTTATGTCATTTTTCTCAAGTCCTAGGTCCTTTTCGTCCAATTCACCGACCTGCACGAGCGGCACGACTTTGTCACGAAAGTTGGGCATCTCCTCCCTTACTCGATCGAACAGCTATGGATCATTATCATAACGCTATGTAAACATATACTGTGACAATATCACAAAATTTAGACGTCATTATTTATTATTTATGCTAGAAATTATTTACTGCTGGGAATTACTTAAACTTTCGAAGTGATTTTCGAAAGCTACTCACCATTCTCTGCCGCTCACTCACTAAGTCATGCAACTGACGTTCGTGGAATTCCTAGCATCAAGAGTGTGAATAATTATATTAAAAAAAAAAATGTGAGTAATAATATCTCATGGCTCATGTAAAATTTATTATCATATTATCATATTATAATCTTATAAATCTGATACGTCTCGGTTATATAATAACTATTCGAAATTTTATGCGTAAGAAATTATTTTTGATCAGATTCTTCCAGCTATTAAAAAGCCCCTCAAATATGAGGCGATTCAAGTGCCTGAACGTTATAAATGTCAGCTGCATGGCTCGCCAGGCAAACGGGAGCGACAAGAGGTGATATAGACGTACTCTTTGAAAATCACTTCGAAAGATCATGTAATTCCTAACACTCATTTATGCTTACGGGACTCCTGAAGATTTCGTCCAGTCTGCTCATAGCGCTGTTGTTTTTTTTCGATCGTATCATCATGTATACCTTAGAGATGTCAGGACAACTTCGCAGCAATTTTTCAATCAAGACTTTCCCGAGGAATCCAGTTCCTCCTAATTATATTGATTGGTTATGTTAATTGTTAGAACTGGTTTTTGAGTTGATGTCCGCTGTGGATTCATTTCCAACTTTTTGTAAACATTTAAATTCATTTCTTTAAGAAGAGAAAAAATTTGAAACTGTTAATTAGGTTAATGTCATTCAAGTATTCACACTGTCAGGTTTCATGTTGTTGCTCTCCTTGAAGAAATCTGCTATAACGATATGTTATAACGTCAGGAACAAATTCACAAAAAATACGGCAGTAACTCGGAATCCAAATCGAGTATTTTTCCACTTCACCAAAACTTCGATATCAGTATGTTTGTCAATTATTATTTAACATTTTAGTTTATTGATCGCGTAAAATAATAACTTGTACAATACATACCTGTAATGAAGATCGACTGGTTCGCGTAGAATATTTGTATTGGTGTTTCCTGAATCTTGATGTTGTTGTTCTCGTAATGTACCATTTTAGATTAATTGGTTTTAAGAAATAGTCTGCTCCTTCTGGTATGCTGCGTGAAGTAATACGCGTGATTTCAATGTTGGCTGCGATCTACGAATGTATGAAAACACTAGCTTCACTGCGATAAGACGATTATTATCTAACACTCATTAAGCAAACTTTAAAACAATTGCAATAATGTCGTTGCAGTTTAAACCACAACATCTTTAATTAGTACAGATATTATTATATGATTATGATCTTTCGGACACGTTGCAGCAAAAAGTGGGACTACACTTTTAGGCTTTGAAAATGTTGTCGTAACCATTTGGCTGCACAGCTATTTTGCTGTAAAGAGCTCCTGACATCTTACAGCATCTTTACAGTAAAATAACTGATTAGCAAGACTGATTAGCTGACAGAAAAATGAATGTTTTCTATGCGTAAATTCAGATTTTCATATAGAAAGATGAGAAAACCCACTCTTATGTGTCCATTTTTCGTTTCAACGTTCAAAATTTTAAATCTTTGCAGAGAGGAATTATTCTCTTGTCAAAATATGACCTCAAACAAATAATCGCATTTATTCTGCTTTATAAACGTTGAGATATTAGATTTGGTTTCTAAGTTTGAGCCGCGTGGGTTCTTTTTCGTCTGATTACGACGTTTCGTGAACATTGAACTTTGCTTTATCAAATTTATTGCTCAAGGTGGAACGACCTGACGACCCGATGGCATCATCCACCATCCTTCGTTGTTCCTCCCTGATGAAGCGGACTACAAATGTCACGAAACGTACTAAACGTTGCGCTTGAACTTTTATTTTTTTACCATTGTATTTTCCGAAGAGGACACAAATCGGGTTGAAACGTAAACTGATGTAACCGATATTGTAGTCTTTGTAATACGTTGTATTACGTTGTAATATATTGATTGCACTTTTATACCTGTGCCTGGCTCTTAAATGCTCTTTCCTTTCATCTACTTTTTTTAATTAACTCACTTTATTGGTCGACGTTGTCCAAACGTTCAGAGCCGCTCGAGAAAAGTATCTCAAAGATACCTTTCACAGACGTTCTACAACAGAGCTCGATGCACTTTACGGCCGATTTTTGGGAGGCTCCAACTCGCGTTGTTCCTATTGTCTTGTTACACCGCGAACAGCCTACGAATCGTTTGAGCAACTACGCAAGGAGAACAACGCGAGAGAGAATCTCTGACAAATCGATCAAAAAATGTACCGCTTGCCGAGCACTATTCTATAAGAAGCGCCACAATCTCTCCGACGTGGTTCATTATTTTACGATAAGGAAATTGACCTACGCAAACGACAACATGTATGCAATGTAATTCACCGCTTGAATAAGGAGGATCAGCGTCTACAGAACTTTAATATGAAAGACTGAAATACTTAGACGATCATATTACTGAGATTAAATTTGCGATCGTAAACTTCAATGTCGCACGCTTCTTCAGCTAATCCCGAAGTCAATGTACGAAGTTTTGTAATTCTGATAAATGTAATGCCTTTTTATGTCTTGAGGTGTCAGGCTAACAGAACTGTGCTAAATATATACGCTATATATAATATTTACGTATTACGCACGTCATATATAAGATATAATGTGTTACACATTGGCTATTTATGTCAATCGTATCTTACATAAGCGATAAACGTACTCACATCTTCTACATAATTGATTACGAGCCATGTTACTGGATAAATATCTGCACTATACGAATTAAAAAAAAAATACATGACAAGAACTTATCATATGTCCTTATACATGTATGGTGTTTCTATTTGTTTCCGGCAATGAAATGAATTGAAAATTAATGAAATAAATTTCAACTCTATTGCATACAGCAAGTGGTAAGGATCACCTCGTATATTATGTACAAGCACGTGCATCATATAGAAATATATTATAAAGATCAAATGTAAATATGTGTATGTGTGTGATATTCTAATTTAAATTATAGCATGCGTCGTTGCGAGAGAGTTAAGATGATTGTAAAAATATCAAAGAATTTCATCTAAAGAAATATCAAAGACATGTACAAAATTGTGTAGAACGATCTAAGTTCATCAGAGAATTATTTATAATACAATATAAATATATTTTAATTAAAAAAATTCGTAAAGCAAAAAAACGATATGTCATAAGTTACAGAAGTTATATTATATAACATAATTACGTAACGTTATGATATTATAATTATAATATTTTATTAAATAATTATATTTGCAAGTAATTATAAATAAATAATTATAAATAATTTCATAAGTATCGTCATAAAAGAGCTCGTGTAGCAGTAAATTAGCAGCTCAAGTTTGTGATCGTTTCGTAGTTTCTAATTGTTCATTGTAAGTTTGTAACTTTAATCACTTGAGCATAAAATACTTTGAAGTAAAAGCGTTGTCGAGATTGCCAAAAACGAAATATACTTCAGATTCGTAAGTCCATTTATGAAAGAAATAATCTTTTGAAGCGATCTGACTTCAAAAAAATATCCAAAGTATTAGGACCTTAACTTAGTTTCCGCCCTCAAATGTTAGATGGCAATGCAAACAGTTCTAGTAGTCATTACTAACGAAACAGGTAGTTTGTGATTAATTTCGACATTTCTCGATAACATTCAGTCAGCATACACAATTATTTTCCTAAACAACAATTTCTTTTGCTTTGTGAAAAATGGAACGCGATAAAGTGTTTTTTCGACATGTGCTTTTGCACTATTTTGATTTGAAAAAAAGTGTAGCAGAAGTTCATCGATTACTTGAAGAAGGTTATGGTGATCGAGCTCCATCACATACAACATGTAAAGAGTGGTATAGACGATTCAAAAGTAATGATTTTGATGTCAATGACAAACCACGCTCAGGACAGCCAAAAAAATTCCAAGACGATGAATTGCTAGCATTATTGCATGAAAACTCGGCTCGAACGTTACAAGAACTTGGAAACGAGCTAGGAGTTACTGAAGCAGCTGTTTCCAAACGTTTACACGCCATGGGAAAGATCCAAAAGGAAGGAAGATGGGTACCACATGAATTGTCTGAAAGTGCCATTCACAACCGTTTCAATATCACGGTTTCGTTGCTTGCCAGGCAAAAAAAGAAGAGTTTTCTGTGGCGTATTGTGACTGGCGATGAAAAGTGGATCTACTACGACAATCCCAAACGCAAAAAATCATGGGTAGACCCAGGACAACCATCAACATCGCAGCCAAAACGGAACATCCACGGTCATAAGGTAATGCTTTGCATTTGGTGGGATCAGCAAGGAGTGCTGTACTACGAACTGCTGAAACCAAACGAAACTGTTACTGCCGATGTCTACAAATGTCAATTGAACAAATTGAATGATGAGCTGTTGCGAAAAAGACCAGCAATAGCGAGTAACAGGCGCAAAGTTATTCTCTTACACGATAACGCTCGGCCACACACTGGAAAAACCGTCAAAGAAACACTGACGCAGCTCGAATGGGAAACTCTTCCTCACCCAGCGTACTCACCAGACATAGCGCCTTCTGATTACCACTTGTTCAGATCGATGCAGCACGGCTTGAGTGGTACACGCTTCCGAAATGTTGAAGAAGTGCGAGAATGGGTGGACGAATGGATTGCTTCGAAACAAACATCGTTTTATCGAGATGGTATCGCCCAGTTGCCAGAAAGATGGCAAAAAGTTGTAGAAAGTGATGGAAAATACTTTCATTGAAATAATTTAAATAAATTTTTTACAATAAATGCTTTTTCTCAGTATTTTTTGGGCGGAAACTAAGTTAAGGTCCTAATAATTTTCTTTTATAATAGTAATAAGGTCATTAAGAACTAAGTGCTGATGTTCGTGCAAATGTAATATAATTAAAGAAATGTTAAATAACAATTGACCCACATACCGATACCGAGGTTTGGGAGAAATACTCGATTTAGATCCCGTATTACTGTCACATTCTTCGAGGATTTGTTTCCGACTTTCCGCGAACATTTCAATACTCTTCTTCAAAAAAAGGAACAACTTGAAGCTTAACGGTGTCAACATTTGGATGACATTGACCCAATTAACAGTTTCAGTTCGTTCTTTTCCTTGACAAAATAAATTGAAATGTTTACGAAAAGTTGGAAACAAATTAATGATGGATATAACATCAAGTCGAAAACCAGATCTAGCGGTTGACGTAATCGGTCAAACGATAATGGTCGAATATGATTAATTAGGAGGAACTGGATTCCTCGGGAAGATCTTGATTAAAAAATTGCGAAGTTGTCCTCCCGGGAAAAAAAAGTGCAGATAAAAGCCAGATATGGATTTTGTCCAGATCTGATCAGATATAATCAGATATAATTCAGATATGATTCAGATCTGCCCATATATAATCATATAATTGTATATATGATTGTGTATCATAATGTACAAATTTTCTTTAATTAATATCTAAAAATCTGTGTGGTCACTTGCAAAATGGTAGAGGACTTTTTTGTTCAGTTTGACTTAATGTATAAGTATACGACAGTAGACGGCGCCACTGCAGCTCTTCTACCATATCGCGCGTGATCATTCACCAATCTCCTTTAATTATTCTTTAATTATTCTTTAATTATTCTTTAATTATTTCGACTGTTATAGCGAATATCGCAAAACGATATGGGACTTTTGTGTTCATCTCAATCCGCTCTATGTCCTCACGAGAGATTGTGAAGGTGATACGGGATACTCTGTATATAGATACATATAGATATGAAATAAAGACGATCGTCAAATAGAAGCTAACATGATACCGCTATGATATATTGATACATATACCGCTGTATATAGATATATGAATATGCAAGTGTGTGTGCTACGTTGTCATTTCAATTTTCTTACACATAAACGGTGTGAATGCTACGTTGCCGATATTCGCATTCTCTTCGAAATAAGATAAACGTCCTAGTGATTGAACGTGTACCGATAATTGAATTACTAATAATATACTTGTGTTTATTAAGATGCTTATCAATAAATAAAACAAAATCACAAAGTAACTAAATATTTCTTTTCATTTATTATATTGTTTTGTATATTGAAAAGCATTTCAACAAAGAAAAATACAAAACCAGTATGTCAATCATTGGGACATGTATGTTCGACCACAGGGACGTTTACTTTAGGCTTTCGCCGCTTTTCTAATGAATCCTTCAATCAATTCTTCATTCTTGTGTACTGGGTAAATCAAAGAAAGAATTTTTTCGAGAAGTGTGTTGTACTCATTGTTACGTTCTGCACGGACGTAAGTCATACTTATCTTTCCTTCTTTCTGTTGACACCCGACAAACAGTTCCAAATCATGAACGGGTTTTCCAACCTCCACAATAAAAATTCCAACAATAATCCCAGATAACTCTAAAAAATACGGAACTAAAAACTTCCTAATCCTCAAAGCATATTCCGCCGAATTTTATCCATAAAATCAAAAGAAGCCGCCGGATAACGAACAAAAGTATTTGTTATATTTTCCAACTTGCATCATTCTCTCTCGCCCTATCCAAAGAAAGAGAGATATTCCCTCACTACCTTTAAAATCCTCCAATAACAACCTCTTTTAAACATACGATTTTCTCCACCCACAACCCCAGCCAAAGAAATCTTCTTAACTCTATCTCCTCACTTATTACTGGCTGCAACGTTATCCCATACCTACCTCCTTTAACAAATCCAACATCTAGTATCCCAGAAATTTCACATTTTTCTACCAAACCATTCTCAGCTGATACCTTATAAAACTGCGACCTCGCGACGCGAGCTCACTCTCTTACACTTCCTATCCGTTACATACTTGGCACCGAACACTGTTACATACATTCGAATATTTCTATTCGTATACAAGGGCTTTTGCCACGACCGAGTGATATATTTCTTTCTTTCCTCCGCGCAAATTTTCGATATTTTCGCGAGTTTTGTGAGAAGCTTATCCTAATCGAGTCAGTGCAACCCGCCAAGCTTGGAGGGTCTCTTGGAGTCTCACCACCCACGAACTGGCCGAAGTCATCAGGTGTTTACAACCCACATTTTGGTACAAAAGTTTTCCACCGCAAGTAATTTTTTATTTTGGTCTTTTTTTTCGTTATTCCTGCCGCGTTAATTAATTGTAATAATAAACCGAAATAATAGAAAGCTCTTTTATCCTCCCACAATCATATTAATATTAAAAAATAATATTAGTATTTAATAGCACTAAGACATCCGTGCTTGCTCCTTGTGTGCCGTTACATATCTCACTATTAGTTTATTTATTCAAGGAGTTTTCTATTGTTTATCTTAAGCATCGGCAGGAAGATGCTA